GCGAGCGAGATTTCTTGCAAATAGCCTACTGACGTACTACTCACCAGGTACAATTTAAATAGCTACGTCCGGTTCGGCAGCTGACCAGTTCGAGAGGTATATTATATTATTCTTCCAGGATATAAGCCAAATAGGCAGTTGCGCGAGATTTCTTGCAAATAGCCTACTGACGTACTACTCACCAGGTACAATTTAAATAGCTACGTCCGGTTCGGCAGCTGACTACTCAGTTCGAGATCGGACTAGCTCACCGTTTGATCTATTCAAGTCGAACTGTGATAGTTTACTTCTTTTTCCTCAATGCTGACTCACAGTTAGACCATCCTTTGTGTGTTTTTTCAGGCTTGGCGACCACATTCACACGAATATGCGCGACTTGTACACGCATCTTCGTAGTTCCAACTACTACGTTGAGGTTCTCACAAACCCATTCACTTGCTTTGACGCTAGGAATTACGGTGAGTTCATTGTTCCTTGAGTACACGGTTGCTTAACTCTCTGTTCATACGATGCATTGTACTTCGTTCAATGAGGGCTGTGGATACCGTGGTGTTTTCAAATTGCAGCTCACCTTTCCCTAAGCGTGTCATTTGCCCACCAAACGTTTCGCGTAGTTTCAGGGACATTCGAAGAAATCCCTCAGTTGGACTCAAACTTGCCCCCACATGGGTTGTTCATCGGATATCCGACAGACCAAGTAAACGGTCACTGAAATAACGCCTGTCGTGAATGTAATGCTAGTTTGCTTCTTTCTTACTTGGATTCCGTCTAGGAACCCTGCTGCTCGTCGATCCTGAGGAGGAATTTCTTCCCCAAGAAGTTGAGAAGCTCTTCATCGATGTGACCACACTTGGATTATCTTTGTTGACGTTTGCCGACTGGTACAACACGAGTGTGATCAATGCACTTCGTTTCTTCGATACAAACACAAAGTAAGTTGCCTTTGCATGTTGATGTTCCACTTGAATGAACACACAGGCACAACAAAACACACACTCAGCATACCTCTTTCCATCTACAATCCCATAGTTGGCAGTTGTGGTTGGCCCCTTACACAATGGTTTCCAGTCATTCTGACGACGGGTCTGAGAACAGTGAGTCCACATGTCGCTGCACACGTTACTCCTCCAGAGGTAAGGAATAATTAGGGTGCGAGATGGCTCAAGTGGTTAGAGCGTGAATTTACTGACCGGTAAGTCCGTGGTTCGAACCCGGCTCCTGCATCTCGACTTTTTCTGTCTAGGCTTGAGCGACCCGGCATTATCTCAGCCCTCGTGCTTCCTTTGGATAACATGGTAGCAAGGCGCCTCAAGGATGTTACAGCTGAACGATTTATTCATCGATTATTGTAATGAGGTGCATCTAAGTTCACGAATCAGCTCTAGAAATACAATTTCATACCAAGCTTGTCATCACGTGTCGTGTCAACTCTTCTGCACTGGGGCCAATGAAGTACACAGTGATTCATCCGTGGTTCGAACCCGACCTCTGCCTCTCGACTTCCCCTGTCTAGTCTTGGGCAACCTGGCAGTATCCCAGCCCTCGTGCCTCCTTCGTGTGGCATGGCAGCTAGGCACCGAAAGGGCGCTACAGCTGAATGATTTATTTATTTATTTATTGATTCATCAATTTTACTTCGGAGTTCGGGGAATCAAATGACAGTTAAGCTGTGGAATCCGACTGGTCATGACGGAAAGAGCACGGGCTTCGATGAAGCTCATCAAACGAACAACTGGTAGCACCAGGGGAAACGTAGAAAAGACATTTTGTACTCACGATGCTTGTTCAGGTTTCAAGAAATGAACATACTGCTTATTGAATGACTGTTTTTCCAATGGTTCGTTGATTCAAATCTTGAGCGTCTTCTGACAAGCTTTATTGTGTTTCTTTGATGTCCTCTTACTCTGAGAATAATTGTTTTCATCCTGTCAACGGATTTCAGCCTCTCTGTAACGTAAATTTTAAAAGTCACTTCATCAAGAGTTGTCCGGTGCGTGGCACGCAGGTAGTTTGTCAAGTACCGAATTTTTCAGGATTCAGCCATCTTTTACACTGTCTTTTTGATTGACCTACTTTGTCCCACAAAGTTTCGCCCACCAAGAGGTTGGTTTTCTCAAAACAAATTAGGTTGCTCGGGACGCGATTCTTGAACTCTCTGCAGTGTCCCTCTGAGTAACAAGCGTTTATCGTTGATCCATCAGTAATGGACTGTTTGCTAAACATTTGTCTCTAAGCTTCAGATCGCTGATCGAGTTTCTCAACCTCGTCAGGTCGGAAGCTTCTGGGAAACTTTAAATAACCAAAAACGCTTCATCTCATAGTAACGATGGGAATTAATTTCTTCCAAACTGTCAATCGTAATTCATTTCTCAAAAATCACCTTCCTCTGTTAGATGGTTTCGCCTTTAAATTTTTTCAATTAAATGTCATACAAGTTAAAATTTAGTTTATACACGGTTGTTGGCCCGTTGAATATACCTCATGGACTTTGTTCGATTCTCTTCTCATCTAGCATCTTTTTTCTTGAAGTAGGGCTTTGTGCAGCTAACTGACAGGGTGATAGTTGGAACACAAATAACAGAACCGTCTGAGTGGGATAGTGAAGGGCTTATTCTTGTGTTCTCGGACTGTGAAGTATTCCAGGTGTGGTTTTCCTTTTCTCAGCGGTGGATCGCAGCTGAAAAGACCTAGATACCTTCGTGTGTGTTGTTTTGTTAGGCCAAATGACGCGTTATTTAGAACAATTTCAAGTTGTAATTGGACAGTTCACGTCGCTGTTTACTCGGTTGGGCATCATAGATTTCAACCAAAGTGGTGATGGTTACTGCCGATAAGTGAACTTTGTCTCCCTAAGCCCTTACTTGTACAACCCGGCACGTCACGAGTTATCTGGGCCGCGCTCACGTCTGCCGCGTGCATATCCAGTCGGTGGCTCATTGTTATGCTTATATGCTGACTACTTATTCCCACATCAGTAGTTTATTTCTAACATTTTCATAGCGTCGTATTGTGAGTTTCCGTCCCGCGAATTGCGGCCTCTGACTATTTGGACATATTGGCGGGTAATCAGGTAGCTGTCGGTCTGTTTAGCGCGCGATTGATGTAGTTGTTGTCGCACGCACTGACCATATCACTGATTGGTGACGAAACGTTTGCAAGCTGATCGGCAAACCCGGCGAGTAGATCAGCGGCCACCTGATCAACCGACAATGAACGCATCCGAGCTACCAGTAATTCGAAAAAAATCATTCAGCCTAGCTCAGTGTCCTTTTGTCGTGCGTATAGTTGCGGTACTAAGTGGTCAGTCTGATTTTTGTGGTTACATGCCACTTCCTCCTTAAACAGACGTTTGTGGACGCCGGAAACAGGTGGGGCAAATCTACCGGCACTGAACAACTTGCTGAGACCATTTGGTGTCGAACTGGGGTAAGTCGTTAACTCAGTTTTACTAGTTTGATCGCACTGCGTTTCATTGTCTGGCTGTGCTTTACAGTCACGGATTTCGTCTGCCTGTCTATTATGTTTATCTGATTGTCACATTGTATAGCCATATTGTCCTTTGCTATCTATGCACTATTTCCCTTCTAACCCTGCGGTGGTTCTTCTCACGGGGCGTAAACTTTGAAGTCTTGTTCAGTAATGTCTGCCCTTTTGTGAACCGTGTTTAGTTCAGTCGCGTCTTCACATCTGATCAGGATGTCTTTGAGGAAGCGGCCGATACCTGGATACATTCTATTTACGTCCTATTTAAATCACGGGAACACTCCACTATGGTTTTTCCCTCTGAACGGAATCTTCACGCCAACCGTCTACGAAGAGTTTCCAATTAGCTGGACACACTGCTTCAGTTCGTTATAAGTCGCCCGGTTCCGACGTCAAAACCATGTTGTTTTAACAGCCAAGGACTTCACTGTTGTGTTCTATATGGCTAAGCAGATTTACTTTCTATGAGTCCACGGCCCCATTTGGTTCTTCTTGAACATAAATGATCAGCGTTATTGTGGACCTAAAACTGGTCTCATTTTCATTGTGGCGCCGCTTGTAAGAGGTTCCTTTCGACGAACCAATCCCAACCGGTGGAGTTTACATTCCTCTTGTGCCCCGCAGTCGAAGCTGTGCTTTCGTTCGGTGGGCACCATGAAATCGACTGTCAGCCTCAGCCTTCATATGCTTTACAAAGTTAAACCCCACGCTAAAGACGTGATAAATACTTTGTTTAATTAACTGGATAAACAGGATAATTAACTTAGCTGTAGCTCAGTGGAAAGCCAATCTCAACACTGGTATGATACTGGTCAATCTGTGTGTAGTATGAAGTTGCCTGTTTCATTCTGGTCAACATAACCGTGGGCTGCCAGAAAAAAGATGAGCGGGTCCTGTAATGTGATCCAAATCCATCTATACATGTTTTCTTGTTTCAGGGACAAAGTCTACGCCGGAAGCATAACAATAGGACGACGAACCAGTGAGTCATACGTAGATCGGGTTATTTCACCTTGTTGGTAATGTGAAGCGATTCGAGAGTTTTCAATGGGGATGAAGCCTGTCTTTACTGAAATGTCGAGAAGCACCGGACGGATGCCTTATTTTTATTGGGTAAGGAAACTCCAGAGAGTCTCCATCCCATAACTTTCCAGCCAGTGGTTGAACACGTAGCTGTTCGGCCACAAGCAGCTGATTAGTTCGCACTCAGACAGCACATGACGCCACTCATCCTGCCATCACGAAGCTGATCAGCAGTGTGATTGGTTCGCACTTAGACAGGACACAACACCACTCATTCTGCCATCACGGCATCCACATCACGTGATCACGCGTTGATTGGCTGGTTCCTCAACTGGTGACCTATCAGCTGGAAGTTTCACTCGTCGTGTGAATCATTCTTCCTACTCGTTTTTGTTCTTTGTTTTTGTTGTTTTCGTGACTTTCACTCGGTTATTCGTGAACGCGGTGTGACCTGTAGACGAGCGGTGAACTGCATTTAAAATCAACCTACTCAGCAGCCTGGTCGCTTCTGCATTCTTAAGTGGCTTTTCCTGGATTTTGTTGGACAACAATCGGTCGAAGTTTCAAATGTTTTCTATGTCAAGAATAAATAAGAAGTTTTCAGCTTTTTGGATTAAGGCTTTTTTGGGACCGGTTTCACCAGGTCACCAAACAGATCTATAGAAATAGAATGTAAAACTTTGCCACGAACGTGGGAATTTCCAAAAATCAGGTAAGGTGTAAGCAGAATCGCCACGGACTGCGCTGTCAAACAAAGGTGCTGTGTTGATTGGTGTAAGTGACTGTCCTACTGCTGGAATGAGCGAATTTTCTTGACGGTGCCAGCTGAATAGCTGTCATAAGTTACTGTTAGTGACCCAAGGGAAGATTAATTCGCATGACAATTGGAACTTCCATCTGAGAGTTCGTCGCTCGAAGAGCCAGTCTGCATGTGTCCACGTGATTGAAGGATGGGTGGTGCTATACTCTGTATAAGAGCGAGGTAACTGCTTCTACCCAAACGGTCAAGTGCCTATAGTATTAAGTGGGATGATGCGAGTTTGGGGCTCTCTGGAGTTTTCTGAGGTCCGCACTGTTGATGATACACATGTACGGCGCTTTTTAGCATTTCAACGTAGATTAGTTTGAGTTTTTACACCTTTGTCTTGGACCCTGCGGGTCATGGAATTACACCAGTTTGTTGTAAGAATAGCTTCGTTTATGCCGTCACCTGACATAGGAGCCGTGCTTTTGCTAAATAAGACTATTTTAGGACCATATTCGCTACTCTTCCTCCTTGTTTCTCTGAAGATACTCGGACGTATGCATCAGTCAATCACGACTAGGCTACGTGGGATTCCGTCGCATAACTTTTGAGGGTTGGGTTATGGCCTCAGTTAATCAGTTATAGCGAGAAGATAATCTTTTTCCCTCGTGTCAACTTTTCTTTTCTCAGTTTGTACGTTTCATGTGATCAAGAGTATCAGCGCAGAGTAATTCTCCTTGTTTGTCAGCAGCCTTCCGTACTTCTTTTGTAGTTCGATATACCTCGGGTTCGAGTTTGAAAAAGTTCCCATCAACTCAGCTGTCTTCTACTGCCGGGCGTGGAGGTTTATTGCGACCATCTTTAGTGGACATTGGTGCTCAAGTGATCCAGAATCGCAAAACACCTGGCACCCAGGAAGAATCAGTTGCCAAAATTCGACAAGTGAGACAGTCCCATGAGACAATGAATATGCCCGACAACTGGCGACTAACTGCAAGTGAGAACGACCCCACTCCGGCTGTTCTGGGTTTATGGACTGCTACACATTCGAATTCCTCTACCGGCCGCCTGGCTGTTTATGGGGATTCGGATTGCCTGAGTTCCACTCATCTAAATGCAAGTACGTAGAGCTGGTTTCCCGATCTACTATCATTATACCAAACTATTTTATTCACTAATGGTAGCTCATGGTTGTCTTCTGTCACCATCATTCTTTGAAGATGCTTTTCGAGATCTCCGGTTCTTCAGTTTAAACACTGACTTCCGCTTATCGAATTGCCATATCCACTTGGTTTACATTCATTTCTGCCTGGTTCTGTTTTTTTTGATTTGTTGTTTATGTTTTTCTAGCTTCTTCCTGATGATGGAGTTGAAGCGATCTTATCATTTAGGTTGGTATACTCGACGTTTCTCCGTTTGCCAATCGCATGTACTGAGAATTCATACCCATAGTGAAAACGTTTTGACCCTGCAATATTGATTGGTTTAAAAGTCGGACGTCACATCTGGTGTTCAGTTGCAGGCTTCTAGTGGAGGGATGTCTCTGAAAGGTGCGCGAGAAGCCGACATTTTCACATCACCAACAAATACAATTCGTCTTTCTGAAATTTTTCTCCAAGTGCATCCCAGGGAATGTAGACACTTCAAACATTGTATCCTGCTTATAAACTACGACCGAGGCGAGATGAACCAAGTGGTTAGAACGCGAATTTACTGCCCGGAAGGTCGATGATTCGAACCCGGCCCCTTCACTTCCTCTGTCTAAGCATGGGCAACCTGGCTGTATCCCAGCCCTCGTGCAACCTTCGGGTGGCATGGCAGTTGGGCACCTCCGCAGACTTCCATCTTGGTTTATAACTTCGACCACCTTTTCGATCGTGTTCTCTTTTATGTTATGAACTAATGCATTTGATCGTATTCAGAAGGTTAACTTACCAGGTTTTAGCGGGTAGGGGCCGGTAAACCGAGAACACACTTGTCGGAGAAAATACAACTCTTTAGATACTGTACTTTCAAGCAGAAGTTTGTCGTTGTTGGTTTGGCATGGTGTAAATTTCCATCTAAGAATTGTGCGGTTTCACGTTTTCTTTGTGCTTCAAAATGGATCGTCACTACCTACCGCGTTGATCATCCTGTTCCGGCTGGCGATAAATCAGTGACCTCATTTGGTTTTGGAATTTCTGGCATGCGAGGACGGACGACGGTTTTGAAAATTTTTCGGAATGAGTGATTGTAGAGGGACTTATTGAGGATGATCGTCCAGACGTCTGCTGTTTGACGCAAGTATACTGTACCTGTCTGCGCATTTCAGCGATCAAGAGTCGCCGGATGCCTGAACGCGGCTCGCACAGGTTCAGTGATTGCACCCTCATTGGTGCAAATATGTTTATTTGTTTTTTAATAAAAACTGCGAGTAATTGACATTGAATTTTCGGACTATTTTGATTATCCTTCTCAAGTCTACTATGCCATTTCTGGATGCATAACCCTTGGGCCGGTTGACTGGATGGGGGATTATAGTAAAGCCCGATATGGACAGTAGATTGTCCAGTCAATTTCATTCCAGCGGTTATAAACGACAAGTTAATCACACTAAGCTATTGTCGCTGCGTACGTCATTCGTAACCTCTTTTCCTGTCTGTCGCTAAGTCACGAAGCACAGAGGCAGATGTGTGGAATGCTGTAAAGCCTTGGTGTTGAAAAACCGTAAAGCGCGGGACATGAGCTGATTGACATAGTACACCATTGGTTTATTCATCTGTTGTTGTTGATAATCGTGCCTGATGTGAACAAGTCACAGCAGCATTTGACCTTGAATTCATTCATCCTTTTTTGCTTTTGCTTCTTACTAAATGTCCAGATGATTTTTCCTACCACCATGCGGTGGAAGAATTTTCAGCCCGTATCTCCAGTCTGTTTGTTCACAAGTGGACACCTGTTTCTTTTTTCTTTTGTCACAGACTGTTTCTGGTTGGTGGACGCCTTACTCCAGTTTGCCACGAGTCCTTTTGCTCGAATTCCACGACCGCTGGCTGACCAGATGGTTCCCGTGACGGACGCGATGTTGGATTCGGAAGCGGGGGTGCCAGAACGCTTGAAAGGTGAGGCTGGCGCACACTCTTCTTTTTAGTCAGCTGGCTTTTTCCAAATGAGTCCGGTTGGACAGTGGAGTACAGTGGAGTGTCCGGACAGTGGACTACGCCTGGACAGCATCCTCAGTGTGATACTCCTACCATAGCAGTGCATTAGATGTTTTATCTTGAGGTTTAAGAAAATGTTGATTTCGTTGAAATCAATGAATGATCCCATTCTCTTATCGTCTTTGCTGCACCACTGTGGTGGCTCTTCTATTTTGCAAAACGTTCCACTTTTTGTGCACGTTAGCCTAGCATGTCAGATGTGCGAAGTTCAAACCCCGCATGGCATGGCCAATGATGTACACTGCTAATGGACTCTGATAAGAGCCACACTCGAATCACCGAAATAACTGCACCAGGACACGAGGACCAATGTCCAAACGACAGCGATATGGACGTGAACTAGTCCCTGAACACACCATTTACAATTCAGGGAGTGGTACTGAAAGTTGTGGGGAGTTTGACCTATCTTGGAAGTTGTAGTAGTTCTGATTGTAGTATGACAGATGAGGTAAATGCACGAATCTGCAAGGCTCGAATCCCGTTGTTTGATCTGAGACACGTATGGCGTCGAAGTGTTATATCCCAGAACCTGAAGAGACGTGTGTATCAAGCTACAGTGCGGGCTGTTTTGTTGTATGGCTGTGAGCCTCCGCCTGTTCGGGCAGCGGAACTGAGACGTCTTCAGGTGTTCGACAATCGTTGTCTCATGTTGGTTGGTGTCGGAGAATCCGTAACGAGACAATTTGAAAGCCAGTTTTCGGTTGTGCAACGGGTACTTCCTTTAAAGAATGTGTCCAGCACCAGAAGCTGCGTTGGTTGGGACATGTGTTGCGTATGCCGAACCATCGTTTGCCGAAGACAGTGCTGTTTTCCGTGCTCAATTCAGAGTGGCCAAAGCAGAGAGGCGGCCAACCCTTGACCTGGCAGAGGGGTATGAAAGGGATTACGAAACGTTTGGGTGCTGTCGGTGCCACCGCGTGATCCTCACTGCGCCTGGTTAGGGACTCTGCAAGATATGGCTTCCAACCGATGTCGGTGGTGATCTTGTCAGTTTTTATCCAGATCGCTCGAATGAGTGTTGAGGTATAGGCACCTCGGAATGATTGTGGTAAGCTAGCTTTAAGTCCCTTCCCCGTCCACCTGTATTCTTTTCCCCACAATAAGAATTTCAAATGAATCATGGTTGTACGTCAGTGAAGCATCGGTGTTGAACACTGATATCATGCTGTCGATGATGAGGACCGCACACACACATACACAGAATGGGTTGTACTGAACGCATGAACGATGTGATTTCCGTTGAGGAAAACTAGACCCTTCACCGATTTAAGAGACGACCAGAAGGGAAAGAAATGTAATTGTTGGTGCACACAATGTGTTTCTGAGGTAGTTGGAGAAGTTTGTGAATGATAAATTACGTCCATTTGACTGCAGAAGCTCATAAATTCAACACGAAAACTGACTTGTTTCCTAAAGGAGTGATTTAGTCGGTCTGGTATAGTCCGATCGATAGTTGCTCATTAAATGGTTGCATTCAGTTCAACCATCTCTTTCATGAAATTGGTAGTATGTCTAACCCAGAAAAAAAACACGGTATTCAACTGTTTTCACAAAGGAAACTACTTACAATGTTGCTGAAAACTTTTCGGTAGCTCATGACTGTATTTGGCTGTTGAATGACCAACCAAAGTTTTGTCATTTCACACTCGCGTATCCAACTGGTCTGAGGTCACATACAGTGGTGGACATTGTGACAGGTGCCAGGATGTTTTGACAATTCGTTTTCTACCGCCGTTTCTGCACGTGTATTTTCCCCAGGGTTTCTTCACAATCCGTGGCTTTCGGTACACGTGAAATTTTTCACTTGTATCCCCTATTTTCTGACGCTGAACAAGGTAGCTTTTGACCCTTGTGGTTCAGCTGATACGAAAAAAACGAATTGTACTCTGTCTCGACCGCAGTTCGGATCAGATATCAACAACGAAATGCGTTTGGAGGGTTCCGATTATTCACTTGTACATATCGTCAGGTGTAGTACGGGGCCGAAGATCGGTTTGCTTTTTATCACGTAACCGGCATTCTTGTGCAACCTTTGTCCGGAACAACCCTTGTGCTTTATTCGCTTATCGAACAATTCATCGATCTTTTGTATTTGTCTGTCGCGTTGTATTTGACCATGCAGGACCGACTTCATTAGAGCACTGAAATTAGGAGTGCTAGATTGTCATGAGGATTGTTTGCTAAAGCCAATTGTGCCACGAACTCGATGAGTCAATAGATAGAGGGCTTCATTATCAGAGAGCCCCCCAAGAGAGACAACACGTTGAAAGGAGCTGTTGACTGCGGCTGACTTTAAACTTAGTCTTGACTGGCGGGAACGTCATCGTTGACCGTCCTGGCGGAGAGCTTTCCCGGGGAAATACGTAACGGGTCGTCTGAGAACGATTCAGGCAAGCTGCTCCAAATCACAAGCGTTTACCCATCCATTTCAGTCTAACGTCGATGCTTTCCTGGCACCCCCCGACGTTAATGTGCATGAATAAATGATTTTTAAAGCACGTCAACGTGGTAGACATTTGTAATAAACAATAATAGTAATTCCAGCCGTAACACCCTTTCGGTGCTCAGCTGGCACGCCACATGACGGAAGCATGAGGGATGAGATACTATCAGGTTGCTCAAGCCTAGACAGAAGCAGTCAGGATGTACGAGTTGGGTCGAACCCCGTCAGGTTGCCCAAGCCTAGACAGAAGCGGTCAGGATGTACGAGTTGGGTCGAACCCCAGACCTTTCGATCAGTAAGTCCGCATCTTAAACACTGAACTGTCTCGGCTCAGTTGGTGTTGTGAACAGTACCGCAGTTAATGGATCCATTGTAGACATGATGAAATCATTTCTCCCCATGTGCACGTAAGATATATCCAGATGTCCGTGTTGATTATTTCGTCCTTGCTTCCCTCCCGTTTTCCGTGGAATCAACATCTCTTTTCTGTGACATCTGCAGATTCCAGTCTGCACAAAATCAGCAACGTTCTTCTTGATGATGGACCATCTCCTGTCGAGTTACCTAATGGAAGCCTTCCACGTGAAGCCTATCGCCTCGACTTCGTTTGTCCTCGATTGCCACGGGGTCTAATTGTCGCAACTACGTACAACCCCGAATCCAGGTTAGTGTGCTATCTGCTGGTTTTATCTGATATGCTGATGGTCTGATTGTGCAGTAGGCAGAGTGTTGAAAAATCGAGTTCACCATGTAGTTTCCGTGGATATTACTGATTTGGGGTGCCCTTCGATAGATGTACCCAGTCACGGTGAGTCCGGCCGAGTACTAGCAAATATGTCAGCCTTGGTATTAGATAGTAATCTCCATTCGGTTTTACGACTTCGACGGGCATACATCAACTCATCGAGCAATTCCAGCATATGTCCAGCTGCGGTCTGACCTTGTCATCCATTGTCATGATTAGCAATGTCGAAGATATTGGTTCTGTCAGTCTTCCTTCTCTGCGTTAGTGAACCTCTGAATTGAAAAAAACTGCCACATCACCCTCGTAGTACCTTGAAAGACCAGTGGAGCTTTCCGCGTCTGACCTTGTTCAAACGTGGAGACTGATCAACTGTTTGTGTTCTCAAGTACGTTGTTAAGGGGTGTCCTGATGTTGTCGGCTTCCCTGACTGTGCACCGCACTCTTTAGGATTCCTCCTTACTTGTATGGTTTTATCCAACTTGCTATTTTGTGCTATTCTTCGCTTCACAGACTCATCTACGAACCCCAACCTCTTCTGCTTCACCCACCCGTGGCGAAGGACTTGTTTCCTCTCACGGATGCATGGAAATGTCGTAAGCCGAGGGGTTTCCAGAATGGACAAGAATATGCCAACCTCTGGTCCCAACGTCTGTTCATCTTTGGTGTGCTAGTTTTTATCCTGTCCCTTCTCTATCGATGGGGACCTCGTCGTGTAAATTTGTACCTTGTGAATATTTTATACGAGTTTTCTAGATTCTACGCGCTTGTTTTACGCCGATTGTACGCAGTTAGAGTCGGTATTAAACGTGATAGATATGTTGTCTTGCCCGAACTACGATGAACGTTAGCACAGCTAATTCCTCGTTTATTTATTTTTGCTGTTTTCAGCTTATTTTTCGCAGATTTTACCTCCTTTCTCGTTGAAGACGAAATGTTTCCTTCTGAATTCGGTCTTTGCACTTTACGCTCTGCAGTGGGGGTCTGTGTTGGCTAGGCTATTCCCGAGTACCAAATTGTGACTGTGTGTCTCAGCCTTATCGATGTTCATTAGGTGTGTAGTTGTCTTACTGTAGACGTAAACCTCGTAGTCTAGGTGGCTAGAACGCTTCTCGTTTCGCTGATCAAAACTGAGTTGTTGTTGCTGGGATGAAACGCCCATAAAACGCTTATTGATCTGTTTTCAGTCATCTCTAATGAATTCAAGCTGTCTAGATAACTCGAGAACGCAGTGATTGTCTTCCGAAATAGATAGTAAACCTCCATAAAGGAAACTACTCACAAGGTTGCTGAAAATTCTTCGACAGCCCACGATCGGTTTCGCCCTTCTTGGGGCTCATCTGGTAGACGCAGTCCCCGAGTTTCCGTCAACCTTATGTTCTACTTGAACTCAAATGGGACTGGTTGTGACAAATACCCTCAGTTGTAGATCAGTTTGGTTTTCGCGGGAGACTCAAGTGAATATCGTGCCGATTGAAACATAAGGCGGCCTGTGCGCAGCACATTCAGTTGTAGAATATCACAAACGAGAGATTCAATTGAGTCTATCGTGAAAACCAAATAGCTAGTATACCGTCTACCCTCCGTATAGATAGAGTAATCTGGAATCTAGACATTCAAGTCCACGACCCTCCCGTGTTGATTTTCCTACTCAAGCGGACCACAATTAGTATGACGTTACCTGCGTTGAAAGTAGAAAGAAATACTCTACAACGTAGGGATTTACACCTGAGGGCTCAAACCAAGTCCAGATGTGTTTCAAACTAACTAAAATGTCTGTTGAGCCTGTTTTCATTTCCAGATGTTTTCTCAAAGTCTGCGTACACGTGGGTATGTTTTTGCAGGCCTGAATCAAGTGGGGAAACTCGGAATGCGGGAACAAAGTTTCCTTCTTTTGAGGTCGCCCCGTTGCCGATCAATATCTCACAAATATAGGAGTAGCCTATCTAGGGTATATTTCCATGAGCAAGAATCAGTTGGTCAGACACTCGAAAACAACTTGAATTTCGCGCTCAAATCGGCAATGGCTGATGCATTCAGCCCTGCGAACTGTAATAACTAACTCCTGACAGGGTTAGGAATGCTGATGTACCGCGGGAGGACCAATAGACAGTTGGAACAGTTGGTAGTAAATTTAGTTCACTTAAAGTGGTTAGCAGTTTCACCGGGCAACTAATACCTTTTGCCAGCTTCCTGAGGAACAGCGATGGTGCTATGTGGCGGCTCTTAGGCCAGAAACAATCGTTCAGCTGTAGCACCCCTCCATTGCGTAACTGTCATGCTACCCGAAGGTTGCACGAGGGCTGGGGTACTGCCAGGTTGCCCAAACCTAGACGGGAGAAGTCGAGATGCAGAGGACGGGTTCGAGCCATAGACCTTTCGGTCAGTAAATTCGCGCTCTAACCATTGGGGCCATCTCGCACGCTTTCAGGTACCTCTTGGATGAACCAACATTGGTAATGTAACATGAAGCGTAAAGTGACCTCAGCAATTCACCATCATCCGTGAAATTTGTCAGTTTCAAGTGACCGGAATTCGAACGTATTTGTTTCGAAAAGAAAAACAAGATATGATAGTCATATAACCATTATCCATGTGCCGAGTTACCGTCCAACACGATTGAAGTACATGGACCGACATATTCTGAGGTTGCTCATAACTTAACCGAAGTGGTCGAGTTGCCCGGAGTCGAACCAGAGAAATTGTGAATATGCTCGCACCTTGACCAGTGAACCAAGCAAGAAATCTAGATGACTAAATCTGTAGCCTATAGAGAGACTAAGATTTGTGACAGTTTGGTGTCTGTATTTACGCGTAACTTATGAAGTGAATGAAATGAATTGTTTGGTCCAGTTTGTCTTCATCGCTCCGAATAGTGTGCATGCGTACGGTGGTTGGGGCCGCTGTGGCTCATGGTGAAAGGAAAGAAGCCTTCGCGGCGCAGTTACTTATTAGAAAATACCAGGTGAACAGTTACAGACTATCGGACAGGGAAGCAAAACTCTTATATGCATCCTGATTACAAAAACCGAATATCCATCCTCTCTGTAAACGCCTCTTCCTGAACTTTTCTGGATATTCATTGACTGTTGCTCAAATCCAAGCAAATACTACAAAGCGACTCCACAAATTCCGCAAAAGATCTCACTTTTCGAGAGACGCAAGGCGAGTTTACAAGGAAACATACTACTTACATGCCTCCTTCATCAGTAGTATCACCGTTACAATGGCAGTCGACAGTGTAAGGTAGGAGGTACGGGAAAACCGAAACAAACAAAAACAAAAAAG